GAAGCAGGTAAGATTAGCGATATATCTTTGTTCTGAGGATCCACGTGCTTTTCGATTTCCCCAATATCAACAGTTTGTAAAATCTCTTGTTGCCATTGAGGTTTGGCTACAGTAAAGACCTCGCTTTCTCTCTACTTAATACAAGTATATTTGGCTAATGGTGTTTCTGATTCATTTCCGTTTAGATTGTTCTCTTGTGGAACTGGTAAAGGAGGAGATTCTTTTCTTGTTGAATGGAATGAAAGTGAAGGGGCCATAAAAAGGACGTACACTGGGTTCAGAAAGAAGTCAAATGGGGTTGTACAGTTTGATACAACACAAAATCACTTTTTGGCTGTGGGTGAAGATAGCCAGATCAAGTTTTGGGATATGGACAACAATAACATTCTTACCTTTACAGATGCAGAGGGTGGTCTTTCGGTTAGTGTTACAGTAATTTATATTTCCCGGTTGTTAGCTTTGTAACAGAATCAAACTTGAAAGAGAGAGATCAAAGGAAGAGGAAAAAATGAAGCCGAAAAAAAAAGAAGAAAATGTCAGTGTATAAACAAACCAAGAGTCAAGTTGACCAACTTTTTACTTCTGTTGCTACAGAGTCTTCCTCGATTGAGATTCAACAAAGAAGGGAATCTCCTTGCTGTTACTACTGCAGACAATGGAATCAAGATACTTGCAAATGCTGCAGGTATGAGGTCCTTAAGAGCTGCTGAAAACCCTGGTTTTGAAGCACTGCGGTCACCTATGGAAGCAGCTGCAATTAAGGTTCTCTCTCTCTCGCCACTTTAAGCCCAAACCACCCCCCTCCCCCCAAAAAAAAAAACTGAAGGCCGTAAGTAGTTGTCCTGATCATATTTTTATTTACCTTGTATAATGAACTCAAATCCTTCTGTTCTTTTATTCACCATGTATAATCAACTGAGATCTGTGTCTGCTGAGCAGGCTTCTGGCTCTTCTGTAGCAAATGTTCCTCCTGTTAATTGCAAAGTTGAAAGAAGCTCTCCTGTTAGGCCATCTCCAATACTTGTACGTTGAATTTTTTCTTCTTTTAAAAAATGTGTTCCAGAATTGGTGGTAACAATGTTAGTTGTAGGAGTAACTTTGGGTACGTGTTGGCTAACTTGCCATTTTCTTTCCCGAGTGTAGATTAATGTTACCAACGTTAGTTGTAGGATTGACTTTAGGTAATTTGTTGACTAGCTTACTGAATTATTCCCTGGCAGGAGGTACGATTGATGTTGCAATCATGTGTTGTTGTTGATTTTCTATGAAGAATTTTCACTTGTCTGAGTCGTACTATATGGTGTAGGAGTTAAATGCTTTGGTGTTGTTTACTGTCTTCTCATGTAACACTGCTTACTGGAGTATGGTCAATATAGTGGGCCCAGATGCGTGCTTCAATCTCAATATTTTGAATTTTTTTTTTAGGGAAGTGTTTCTTTTGTCTGTTTGGGTATCTTGTTTATTTATTTATTTTTAAATCTTCAGAATGGAGTTGACTCAATGTCTAGAAGCATGGAGAAACCAAGAACGCTAGATGATGTTAATGATAAAATGAAACCTTGGCAGTTGGCTGAAATTGTAGATCCTGTTCAATGCCGAATGGTTACGATGCCAGAGAGCACAGATGCGGGTAACAAGGTGGGTGCACTAATTAACTGGCATTTACGTTGCATGTGTTGCTTGTGAAGAATGTGCTTTTATTGACATATTCATATATAGGTTGCTCGGCTTCTTTATACAAACTCTGGTGTTGGCCTTTTGGCACTGGGATCAAATGGTGTTCAGAAGCTGTGGAAGTGGGTGCGAAATGAGCAAAATCCTTCTGGAAAGGTAATGGGAATGATTCCCTATATTGTTGTGGAGTTTATCTCTTCTTCCTTCATTTTTTCCTAACAAATATATTATGAACAAGTTTCTGAAGTAAATGTGGGTCTAAAGGCCACTGCCAATCTTGTTCCACAACATTGGCAACCAAACAGTGGTCTTCTTATGACTAATGATGTCTCAGGTGTCAACCTTGAGGAAGCAGTTCCGTGCATAGCTCTCTCAAAGAATGATTCTTATGTAATGTCAGCTGCTGGTGGAAAGGTTTCATTGTTCAATATGATGACTTTTAAGGTATGTCTTCATATAAGTATGTTCACGATTTGTCTGATCAAAATTTTCAAAGATACATTAGCAGTTATAATGTAATTGTCTTCAATGTGGTTTCCTATGAAGGTGATGACGACATTTATGGCGCCACCACCGGCTTCAACTTTCTTGGCATTCCATCCTCAAGATAATAACATTATAGCCATTGGTATGGAGGATTCCACCATCCACATCTACAATGTTAGGGTAGATGAGGTATTGATTCCATCACTTTATATGATCTCAGATTACTGTTGACACTTGTATAATCGGCAGTGATGTCAATCAAATGACACTGTATAGGTGAAATCAAAGCTGAAAAGTCACCAGAAGCGCATAACTGGTTTAGCATTTTCCACCACCCTGAATATATTAGTTTCTTCTGGTGCTGATGCTCAGGTAAAAAGCAATTCCTGTTTTTTATGGCTAAGAGCAAGTGAAGAGATTTTCTTCTCCTCCATTTTTTTTGGGGGGGGGGGGGTTGGGTGGGTGGGTTTCTAGATATTGACTAGAAAAAAAAGGTTTTTTTTTTTAAAAAAAAAAAAAAGGAAAAATCATGTTTGTTAAAGGGACCTTTTCATTTACAAGATGTCTAAGGTTGCTTTGTTTCTTCTGCTGTAGGTCATATATTAAAATGTGTGTTTCATCGTCTTTCTTAGAGATGAAATTTGATCCCCATGATCCATTGTTGGTTATTTTAACTAATTATTATTGGTAATCCTAAAAGCATGCTAGCCCTGTCAGTTGTTTTCATTTTTCTGTTCCTCTGTACTCGCTGGAACTTGTCTTCCTGTTATGGTGTGCTAAGATGGCTGTTGATCTTTAAACTGTCATATACAAACCTGCAGCTTTGTGTTTGGAGTATTGATACATGGGACAAGCGGAAATCAGTCCCCATCCAACTCCCTGCTGGGAAAGCACCTACAGGTGACACTCGAGTTCAGTTCCATTCTGATCAAATCCGCTTGCTGGTATCACATGAGACACAGCTAGCATTGTATGATGCTGCTAAGATTGATCGCATTCGTCAGGTATGACGTGTTCTAAATCTTTGGGGTCAAGGTTGCTTGTAAGATGACTAAAAGTTTTGCATGGATAATGTTTTCTGCAGTGGGTTCCCCAAGATGTCCTTTCTGCTCCCATCTCATATGCTGCATACTCCTGCAACAGTCAACTAGTTTATGCTTCGTTCTGTGATGGGAATATTGGGGTCTTTGATGCTGATACCCTAAGGCTAAGATGTCGGGTTGCTCCATCGGCGTATTTATCCCAGGCAGTATTAAATGGGTAAGAACAGGATGTTTGCATCCCAATGTTTCCTGATGGTTTATTAAGCGGCAAAAAAAAAAAAACTTTTTATTTTTGGGTGTATGTTTGGTTGATAGTACTTTCTTTGGTCTCTGACAGAAGTCAAGCTGTGTATCCACTTGTCATTGCGGCACATCCTCAAGACCCGAACCAATTTGCAATTGGGTTGACAGATGGGTCTGTCAAAGTGATAGAGCCCCAGGAATCAGAAGGAAAGTGGGGAGTAACTCCTCCAGTGGACAACGGGATGTTAAATGGTAGGGCGGCATCGTCATCCACCACCAGTAACCATGGAGGGCCTGATTCAGTCCAGAGATAAAAGTCAATTGTATTTTTTTCGGTCTTCTGATTCTGTAATCCTATCAGGTGTAGATTTTTTAGGATTTTGTATTTTGTCCCTTGTCAAAGGTTTAGATTGGAGATTAAATTAGAGAGATTTGTAATTGCACGCTATTTGTTGATTTATGTGTATTTTGTTTAATGCTCCTATTGATGCTAGAAATTGTATAAATCATATTGGTGGTTGAAATTTTAGTGCTTTTCATTGCCTGATTTGGCTGATGATGATGGCCGGATTCCAAAATTGGAGTTTGACCTAGCATCACACACTGAAACTCCTAACCTATTCAATGTACGAATCTCTGTTGCGATTAATGAGAAAACAAAGTCACTTCAAATGTTGTCTCCTCCCTCGTACCTGTCGAAGATACAAATTTGTGAACGCATGGCTCGAGCAGTGAAGTAAAATGAAAGTTACTCGTAATCTTGTATGGATGGGGCAAAATTTTGGGTACGTCTAGTGGTGTGAAACAAAACTGGACTACTAGTTGTACCATGTGCTATTCTACGGTACCAATCAAAAGTTAGGCGCGTCTGATGCATATTAATTTAATAAAGAGAAGTTGTTGCTTAATCTAACTTAACAAATCAGAAGTAATTTCACATATACAACTAGTGTCTAAGGTTATAATAGCAATCTGTGCTTGATGCTTTATTTTAATGCTTGAATCGAGTTGAGCTCTATAAAAAAAAAAAAACTAGTTCAAATTTTAGTTTCTGTAATATCCTATAAAATTTTCTGTTAAGAGGATGAGACCTATCATGGAGTCCATTGTTTTGCTAACTCAAAACAAGTTTCTCTTGGTAGGAGGGGGGCTGATGACGTTTGTTTTAACCAAAAGACGGGGAGATGTGGCTTTTGTGCCGTTAAGCTGGATCTGGAGAAAGCAGCGTACAATAAGTTGGAATGGAGTTTTATAAGAGAGGCGTTAAACCATTTTGATTTCCCTCCTCCACCGACTTCTATAATTTTGAAATGCATCTCCTCAACCAAACTTGCCATTCTAATTAGAGTGAATGGCCCAAAAGGTCACTAAACTATTAAAAATGGCACCCTCTGGTCACTAAACTTTTTTTGTGGCCGAAAAGGTCACTAAACTCGAAAAAACTCTCCAGCGAAGTCATTTTACCGAATTTCACCGGTTCCTCATCCGGTAACGGGGTCAATATGGAGTGGAGGAATATAGTAAAGGGGCAAAAATGTCAAACAAAATATGGTCAACCTTTTTTTCTCTCCCCCTCCTTTCTGCTGGAAATGCCGCACATCAGATAAGGTGACAGTTCCTTTTTCCGACTTCCTCTCTTTAGCATCAGGTAAGGAGGAAAACGGACGGCGGGCGGGCAAAAAAAATGGACTCTGCTCTCTCTTCTTCTTCTTCCTTTCATGCTCCGCCACGTCTTGGTCCCTCTGGCATGAATCTACTACAAACCCATTACTCCAGCTCTTTCTTCTTCAACCCCGTCCCCAACAGAAATCCCATCTCCACAGCCAACAGGCCCTCTTTGCTTTCAACTCAACAGCCATCAAGAAAGTTGCGTTGCCTACCACCTGCTGGCAAGTATGTCAGAGAGGATTATCTTGTGGTAATATTCGGTACTCTTTTTTTGTAGCTGATTACATAGTACTGCTCTGTTAGTGGCTGGTTTCTTGGGATTAGGCGGTGCAGAGAATTCATTGTTTAGCATGCAACAACTACAAAGTGTTTTTTCTAGTATATTTTTCATTTTTGTCTTTTTTTTCCTGCGAGAAAAAGGAAGCTTTTTTCGATGTTTTTCAGAGGCTTATTGGGGGGTTTTTTGTTTTGCTTCCTTTGTGTAGAAAAAACTGTCTGCTAAAGAAGTCCAAGATCTGGTGAAGGGAGAGAGAAATGTACCACTAATAATCGATTTCTACGCAACATGGTGCGGTCCCTGTATTTTGATGGCTCAAGAACTTGAAATGGTATGGATAGTAATTGGATTCAGCTTATATGTTAGCACAATGCCACTTCTTTTTTTTTCTTTTTTTTAAATTTCTCCTTGACTTTCTTGATTCGTATCCTGATGAATCGGTTTATTGCGTCTTGCCATGAGTCATTGGACAGGATGAAATGGAAGGAGATTTTTCCTTGAATAGATGAGAGAAGATTTGTCTTTCAACAAATGAAAAGAGGACTCAGCTAATTTCTAGATCTAAGGCACGACTTGCGAGAGAAAAAAAGGTTGACCATATTTTGTTTGATATTTTTGCCCCTTTACTATATTCCTCCACTCCATATTGACCCTGTTACCGGATGAGGAACCGGTGAAATTCGGTAAAATGACTTCGCTGGAGAGTTTTTGCGAGTTTAGTGACCTTTTCGGCCACAAAAAAAGTTTAGTGACCAGAGGGTGCCATTTTTAATAGTTTAGTGACCTTTTGGGCCATTCACTCTTCTAATTAATGGTGCACCTACCAAGTGGATTAGAGGGATCCGTCAGGGAGATCCCATCTCTTCCAATATTTTTTAAATTTATATGGAGTATCTTGTCCTCAGTATTGAACAATTTGTAAACAGTAAAGTTTGGAACCTTTTAAAAATAGGGAGGGGTGGCCCATTAATATTCCATTGTATATTTGCGGATGACATTATTTTGTTCTCAAGTTGTAAACAAGTTTTAATCTCTTGCTGTTAAGGAAGTTCTAGACAATTTTTGCCTCAGGTCAAGGCTTACAGTTAATCTTGAGAAATCAAAAATTTTCTTCTCAAAAAATATTCCATAGCCTGATCAGGATAACAAGAACCTTTTGGGTATTATCAGTACCTTAGATCTTGGTTTGTACTTGAGAATCTTTGACTGTCAGCAAAAGGTAGCCAGGCATAAATACCATTTCATTCTTGACTAAATCAGAAGCACACTTGTTGGATGGAAAGCAAATTTGTTGTCTTTTGCAGGAAGAAAGGCAACCATTCAGCAAAACTCATTTGCTATTGCCTGCTTTTATGCCTAAAACATACCTCTCCCTAAAACCAGTGTTGTTAGACCCAGACCGGATCCATCAGTTCGATCGATCCGATCGTGAACTGACCTTCTTTCTAAATTAGTTTGTACTATATAACTACTTTGGTCAAAAATTTATCAAAATCATCAAAAATCAACTAAATCGGTGACTCGATTTGACTGGTTGACCCGGTTCTCTAACTTTTCTTTCTACTTTTCTCTAAACATAATTTGAGTTATCTAAATTGTAATACTTTCATTTATTAATAGGAATAAGAAAAGTCATCCATTTATTGTAAATATCAACTCACTTTTCTAAATGATTTCTAAATCAAGATGTTTTCATCCCTATGATCTCATTAATTTAGCATCAGTGATTCAAACTTGCATTAATTTGTTTTAATTTAGTTTTTCAAGTAATTTTGGAGAATGGGCATATTTTAATCATGAATTTATATTTTTATATATAATTATTAGGTGTATACTTTATTGCAAGTCTAATATTTTTAAAACATTTTTCATGATTTGCCAAATATAATCAACAACTTAGTTTCAATATTTTTGGAACTTATAAAAATATAAAATAATTATAACATCATGCTGATGTCAGCAGATTTTTTAGAACAGTACGACCTATCCGACCAGTTGACCTTTGACTTAGTAGTTTAGCCGAGTTGCTATCTGATTTGAGTTTAACAACATTGCCTAAAACCATTTGTGAAAGTATTGATACGCTTTAAGAGATTTTCTTTGGAGGTCATATTTGGATAATAAGAAGGTCCATTTGGTAAATTGGGAGACCATTAAAACTCCCAAAGTTCTTGGTGGTCTTGGTATTAGAAAGACTGCTAATGTGAATGATGCAGCAATGGCTGGGTGTGCAAAATCAAAAAATTTCGATTTATCGACCGAATTCAAATTGAATTCGAAAATTTTGAAATTGGTAATTCAGAATTTGATACTAAAATCGGAATTTTCGATTTCGAATTATGTGAATTTGGTTCGAATTCGGTAATGGAGTTTTTGAAATCGGAATTTTCGATTTCAATTTCGTTTTATAATATATATATTAATATTTATTTGTTTATATATAATAATATTTTTATTTCAATTTCATTTTATAATATGTATATTCATATATATTAATATATATATAATAATATTTTTTATAATATATGCAATATAAAATTTATATTATATAACAATACATCTAATAAAAAAGAAAAAAAGGTTTCCGAATTCCGAATTCTGAATTCAAATCGAAATCGGAATTAGTGAATTCGAAATCGAAATCGGTCGGTAATTCCTATACCAAAATTCCGAAAAATTTCAAATTACAAAATTTGAATTCGATGCACACCCCTAATGGTTGGGTTGTGCTGGAGAATTATGCAAGAGAAAGATCAACCTTGGGCTAAGATTCTGAATCATAGACACGTGAATTCCTTAGACACTAGGCATAATAGAATATTGATCCTTAACCATACTAAAGGATTTGTGAATCAGAAGACTCTTATGATTGGAGTAAACCTTAATAATAGAGGAGTGGGATGGGCCACCAATGATGGTAAACATGCTAGGATTTGGTTGGAAGATTGGATTTTTCTTGGTCATCTAAGGAGTCTAGTTTCTGGTCCACTTCAATTTGGAGAGGATTCCCTCACTGTTTCCTCTCTTTTTGGTGATAGGGGTTCATGAAATTTTGATTGTATTTCCTTTGAACTTCTTGATTATATCATAAATATCATTAAAGTTATTCCTAAAAGTCAGATGTCAGATGTTCAAGACTCAAATCTCTTGGAAAGCTAACTTTAAGAGTTAGTACTCTTTAAAATCCAGTGTTCATCTATTTGAGAATGAAAAATCCAAAGATGTGATTAAGGAAGATATTTCATGGGTTTGAAAAGTGTTAGCAAACAGTTGAGTGTATCATTTCTTGTGGGTTGCTTGCCAGGATAAAATTCTCACTAAAGCTAACCTCTTTAAGAGGAAAATTGTCGAGGAGGAAGTCTGCCATTTCTGTAACCATGAATTGGAGAATACCTTGCACCTTTTGTGGGGGGTGCTCTTGGTCAAAATTTTTTTGGCAAGAGCTAAATCTGCCAATCTCACTCCAATCGAAGACCAGAGAGAGTGTCTGCTCTTGGTTGAAAAGAGCATGCTTAAATATGGGCATCTCCTCCTTCTTTAGAATTCCTTAGGGTACTTTAGTTGCATTTTCCTGTTGGACGCTTTGGAATCATAAAAATAGGAGTTTGTTTGATAACCAATACTATAATAACCATTCATTCTCTAATGTAATTGCTAGTGCAATTCCTTCACCTGGGACCTAGAACCGAAGGGATAAAAGTTAAAGAGTAAATTTTGGTGGGATGGACTCCTCCCCCTCCATGAGTTTGCAAACTAAGGGTCCGTTTGTTTCGGATGAAAATATTTTCCAGGTAAATATTTTCCTAATTTCCCGTGTTTGATTGCACAAAAGTTACTGAAAACATTTTCCTATGCAAAATATTTTCACTCATCTTATGGAAAACAACTTCCCTTCCAAACTTACTGAAGTTGTTTTCCGAAATGCATGCATCCCGCCTGTAGTATGTTCCAAATTTACTGAAAACATCTTGTAGTATGTTCTTTTTTGTTTTGTGTAAATAGGAGGACTCGAACCCAAGATTTCTTCCTTACACTCCCTCCCCCGTACCAACCCAACCCTCCCCCTAGTATATTCAAAATAAAAAAAGAACCTCATCCTGCTCATCCTATGCTAGTAATTAATTATGTATAATAGGGACATTCTTTTCTAGAGAAACTTTCAGCAGTGAGAATGCAAGATATATGTCACAATAAGCATTGCATGTGTTTGATATTTGACACTAAATGGCCAGCAATTTGTTTATTGCTTAAGGAGATATTTTTTATTCATATATACATTTCTCCAAGATTTTTTAAAGTTAAACAATGAGATAAATTTTCTTATTTTGCATGGGAAGAAGTATGTAGTTATAATGTGTAGAAAGTAAAGATAGAGATAAAAGTGAAAATATTTCAAAAGTTAAACAAACACCAGAAAAATGAAGTAAGAAAATATTTTCAATAAGCTAACCAAACACCTGAAAATGATGAAAGGGAAATGATTTTCATGAAAAATTACTTCCACGGAAAATATTTTCCCAAGGAAAATATTTTACTTCCAACCAAACAGGCCCTAAATGCAAATGGATCAACTATTGGTAGTCCAGGTCCAGCTAGGGCAGGTGGTATCATTCGCAACTATGATGAAGAATGGGTTGGAGGCTTCTACAGGAATGTTGGCAGAGCTTCCAACACTGCCAACATTGTGGCTGAGCTTCGGGCACTAAGAGATGGTCTCAATTTGGCAAAGGACCTTCATATCACAAATCTCCAAGTTGAATTGGATGCAAAAATTATAGTGGCTTTAGTAAACAGTAAAAATGATCTAACACAGCTTTTTGCATCATTGTTTATGATTGCAGGACCATCACGAGGACCTTCCGCTCAATTACTATTAAGCATATTTTCAGAGAAGCGAATCAGTGTGCGGACTTTTTGGCTAAAAAGAGAGTTGAAACTGCTAATGACTTTTGTGTTTTGACTAGTAAACCCGTAGAACTTTCCTATCTAATGGATCTAGATTGTTGAGGCTTTTTTCTTCCAAGAATTGTATCTTTAACTAGTTAGTAATATTATATCCCTTTCATACCCCCCCTAAAAAAAAGAACACATAGCTTGTATAAAAATAAGATTAAAACTCAAATAGCAGCAGCTAAGACGAATATGAATATTCAAATTTTGAACTCATTCGAAAATTAAATCAAACTCAAAGAGATAGGCGTTGGGCTTGAATAATATACAAGCCAAAATTGAATAAATTAAAAAAAGATCCAGATTAATCTTATATACATTGATGTTATATAGGAATAGTCAAAGCTATACCCAATTGAAAAAGAATGTTATCCAATGCATTTCAAGTAAGACTCACACTTAGGTAGACCCGGTTTTTAAAGATCCAATGTCCTAAATTATGCCATACCACTTGGTGAGATGGTATAGTATAATTCGGGCCATTGGGTCTTTGAAAATTGGGTCCGCCAAGTTTAATGCTTCAAGTAATTGTAGTAAAACTTGGCTTGCCTTGGCTTTTCGGGTGATACCAACATATATAAGTAATTGTCATTCTGTAAGATCATAATGAAAACGCAACTTTTGTTTTTCTTTTAGACGAATATGATGTTGAGATTATATATATATATATATATATTAGCAGCCATGGATGCGTGCACATATTTCAAATTCAATTTGGGATTAGGGGATGTGCATTTATGTGAGCTAGTGTATTTGGATAAATTATTATTCGAAATATTATTTAGATTAATTATTGTAGTACTTCTTTGTGATGTAATATATGTGAAATAAAAAAAATTAAAAATATAAAAGAATTGTGATGGGAACATATGTTTATGATGCAAGTAGAATAATATTTTAAAAAACCTGCTATCCAAACTAAGGTTGTTCAAATTGACTCGAAAAACCAAAAAATCGAGGAAATCAACTTGTCTCGATCCAGAAAATCTTAGGTAACCAATCCACTTATGAGAGAGGTGGATTATGGTTCGGGTTTTATAGGGTCAGGTTGTGGTTCACATTTTTTTTCTTTTGGGTAAGCCACGGGTGCTTGACCCACTTGATATATAAAGGTAAACTTATAAATTTATTCATTAAAACTAAAATTAATGGAGGAAAACCTAACCATCTTTCATCAAATTTTCATGTTCGAAATGAGGTACTTTATTATTTCAACGGTGTAAGGTTGTTAACTTGTTGAATCTATTAAATTATATAAATTTTTATTTTTTGTTGTAATAAACAAATTTTATTTTAAAAACTTGTTTGCTATGTAAATATGCGAGGATTGATGGTTATGTTATGTGATCATTATTAATGAATGATGAATCAATAATGATTTTTTTACACTTCTAATTAGTTTTTAATTATTTATTATTAAAATGTAATCTTTCTAACTTAAATATTGGTTTGAGTTCATGCAGGTATCCAGAAACAACTATGACCATGGGGTGGTTATTATATGATTTTTTATCGAGTTGTTAGATTTGGATACCCGATCATAAGCAACTCTAGTCCAAAACTATTATTGTATACAAGTTTAATCCAATGTTTGATAAAATTGAAATTTGAAAATTGGGACGTAAAATATGAAATCTGAATCCGTTAAATTACTGAATTGTTAAATACTAAATTTGATACATTTGAGTGTGTATCACATTAAATGATAAATGAATAGCTTATCACTCTACTTTTTTTTTTTTTGTCAGAACGGCAACACTTTCATTCATCAAACCCCAATTACACATCCTGGAGCAACTGCTCCTCAACGTCTGCTTGAGCAATATCAAGCAACCAAACTGGAAAACAAGCTTTCCAATCAACAATAGATCCTAGATTTAGAGCATATCTAGCAAACGTATGACTAACAGAGTTGAACTCCCTATGAACAAAGGAGAAACAACATTCCTTAAAGTTTTGTTTTAACAACTTAATATCCTGCAAGACTGTGGAGATAAGCACATCATCCGAATCTCCCTGAATTCTGTCTATTACAACCTTACAGTCGGATTCAATGATGATCCTTTCCCAGCCTTCCAAAGCAGCTTTAACCATTGCAGTTCTGATTGCCAAAGCCTCCTCAAGTACTGGGACTGAGCATGTAAAAGAAGGACAAGCCCACGTAGCAACCAGCTTCCCCTTCCAATCTCTAGCCACAATACCCCAGCCAGCTTTGTTGGACTGCTGGTTCAAAGCCGCATCAGTGTTCAGCTTGATCCACCCTTTGTTAGGAGCTGCCCAACTTCCTTTCTTCCCTGCTTCTAGCCTTGATTCCCTCCCTTCCTCCTTTCCCTCATACTGGACCTCCTGGTATTCCAGCCATTCTGTTAATGCTTTGTGTACCACCACTCCTGGATCCCTACCTTTCCCATTGAAATTTATCTCGTTTCTATCCTTCCAAATGTGCCATAGCAGGTTGACTGTAAACGTAATATGCTCCTCCCCTTTCTCCCTAATAGTTGCCTCCACCAACTCAGTCCACCACAACCAAAACTTCCCTCTCAAACTTTCCAAGCCATCCCACTGAACTGGAGCCATTTTCCAAATAGATTCTGCATGACAACATAGAAACAGCATATGTTCAGTCGACTCTGAGCAGGCCTCACAACATTTACACAATGGATTGCCTTGCCTGCTCCTATTTTTAGTTATTAAACGTATTTAAACATGTTAAAATTTGAATCCATTAACTTTGAGTGTTGAATTCAGTTATCAAACAGATCATAAAAGAAAGGATAAATTATCGTTGACCCCATGTAGTTTGGTATTTTATCACATAACCTCCAATAGTCTAAATACTTATATACAACTCCCTTATGATTTAAGTTAGCGTGTCATCCAACGTTTAATCCAAAACTATTATTGTATACAAGTTTAATCCAACATTTGATAAAATTGAAATTTGAAAATTGGGACGTAAAATATGAAATCTGAATCCGTTAAATTACTGAATTGTTAAATACTAAATTTGATACATTTGAGTGTGTATCACATTAAATGATAAATGAATAGCTTATCACTCTACTTAGTTAATTAAGATGTTCTATTTTTAGTTATTAAACGTATTTAAACCTGTTAAGATTTAAATCCATTAACTTTGAGTGTTGAATTCAGTTATCAAACAGATCATAAAAGAAAGGATAAATTATCTTTGGTTTTTTATCATGTAGTTTGGTATTTTATCACATAACCTCCAATAGTTTAAATACTTATATACAACTCCCTTATGATTTAAGTTAGGGTGTCATTGTTTAAAACTAATGGTCAATAGTAAAAAGTCAAAATCAAACTAATAACTTGATAAATTTACCCTTTCATTACTTCTTTTTCCCCTCTAAATATACAAAATAAGAAATTGAAATAAAAAATAGATAAATAAAAAACAAAAAATACCATTAAAACTTGGCTAAAAAACCTATAATGATATTTGTAGTAAAAAAAAATTAGGTATTTTTTTGTTTCTTATTTGTTTGTTTTATATTTCCCTTCCATCTTTTTTGTTTCTTATTTATTTATTTTTTGTTTCCTTTCCATTTCTTTTGTATTTGGAGAAAATTAAGATTTTGTAGATCAAAGTATAAGTTTTCAAAATCATCACTTTTCTTCCGAAAAAAAAGAGAAAAAGAAAAGGAAAAAAGAAAAAAAGGGAAAAAAAGTAGTGAACAGGTGAATTTATCAATTTATTAGTTTGATTTTAAATCTTTAATATTAATTGTTAGTTTTAAAGGATTAATGAAAAAACTAACGGTAACACCTTAACCCAAATTATAGACAAGTTATATATACGTTTTTAAATTAGATTAATATTTCAGCGTTGGATGAATGATAACGATGTAAAATTTGAATTTGAAATTCAATCTTTGTATATGTGTTATGAATTTAATAGTGATAGTGTATGCACCGTCAGTGTATATAAGATTTATTCTTTTAAATTATAGAGGATTATGTGGTAAAACACCAACCAAATTATAGGGGGTTAAAAGAAAATTTACCCTAGAAGAGAGATTTTTGAACGATGTTCTTTTAGTACTTTAATAAAGAACAACTCTTGTTAAACCTACCCATCTTCTCAAAATCCTCTGGCTCCAACATCGTTGAGGCTGGAAAGATGGCGAACCGGACGGACCCGTCGGCGAAGAGCATAAGGGGGACGAATCCTCAAAATCTGGTGGAGAAGATTGTCCGGTCCAAGATTTACCAAAACACCTACTGGAAGGAGCAATGCTTTGGTCTTACGGCCGAAACCCTAGTCGATAAAGCAATGGAGCTCGACCACCTCGGCGGGACCTACGGAGGCAGTCGCAAACCCACTCCTTTCATTTGCCTTGTCACCAAAATGCTCCAAATTCAACCTGACAAAGAGATTGTTGTCGAGTTCATCAAGAACGAAGATTACAAGTGGGTTTTTGTTTATTGGTATTTGTTCAGTTTCTTTTGTTTTTCTTGAAAATTTTGGTAGAATACCTTTTCGTTGATTTGGGAAATTTGCAATTTTGGTTGAGCAGATATGTCCGTGTTCTTGGAGCATTCTATTTGAGATTGACAGGGACAGATATTGATGTTTATCGGTATTTGGAGCCCTTGTATAATGATTATAGAAAGCTCAGGCAAAAAACGAATGATGGAAGTAAGTAAATTGAGCTCTTTCTAGGGTTTTTTCCCCCAATCTAATTTAGTTCAAAGTTTGGGGTCTTTCTTGCTTAGCTGTGTTGTTGATTCGTTTCAGGATTCGGTTTGACTCATGTGGATGAGTTCATTGATGAACTTTTGACAACAGATTACTCGTGTGATATTTCATTGCCCCGTATCAAGAAAAGGTTAGGTTCTATCTATATTGTCCCAAATGTGAATTTTGTATTACATGTTTGAGAACATATGTGATTGGTGACTAGAACAATATGTAAGTGCATGGCGAATGGGATATAAAGTGACTGCACAATCTTATTCACTCCATCATGTGGTTGTTGAACATCACTGAGGTCTGCAGGAAATTGTATGAATGCTTAGAATTGAAGAGGGAGCATTTTACTACTAGATAGAACTAAAATTGGGGAAATCTTTCTGTACATGTTTGGTATAATGAAGAATCAACATGCTCAAATGAATTCTTGTTTGGATTATATATGAATTCCAATGATTATGGTGGCTCCAGTGCAGATAAATTTGTAGGTGGGTGGGATTGATTGGTTATTCAAGTGGATCTGGACTTTCTGTTTACAAACTCCAACTTAGGATGTGGTTCCCATCAACACCCCCCCCTCGGGGCCCGCGGGGCAGGGGAGCCTGGGGTTTATCGTGATTTTCTGCTCTTAACTTGCATATTCTTGTTTTACTGCCAGGTGGACTCTTGAAGCCTTAGGTTCTTTAGAACCTAGAAGAAGTGCTCTGGAAGATGATTTTGAGGAAGAGGAAGAAAAGGATGAAGACGACCAACTAGCTGCAGGGTCAGATGATGGGGATCATGAGAAGGTCCATTCTTTAGCTTGATTTTTGTTGAGAGAAAATATGTTTGCATTTGAAATTTGAAAGTGTCTCCTAACTTTCATATTCTTGGTTTTTCTTTGGGAAACAGGATTACTACCGCGGACGTAGTCCAACAAGGGAAAGAGATCGGGATAGAAGACGAGACAGTCATAGATACAGGTTGGTCTTGTTGCTCTTTACCTCTGTTCCCTTTTCATCATGGCTTGGGGAGAAATTTTGGTTATTAGTACTCCTCAGTTTTTGGCTCTGTTGGAACATGGCAGAATTTATTCTTACCTGCATCTTAAAGTCAAATGTACTTGAGCTTGATGATGTGGAATGCTCATTCCCATTTTGCACAAGTATTTGGCATAAGCTTGATGAGTACTATTTTTCTGTGATTTTTAAGATATTGCTAGATGATGCGTTTGAATATCTGACAGCTTTCTCAATAGAGTATTATTCTTAGTCTTAGCTATTTTCTAGTGGAAGCTGTCATGAGAATTGCTGTACCACATGCACACGCGCACATAGTAGATTGTACCGTCCATGTTTAAATATAATATAATAAAGGGTGTTGCCAGTGCTGTGGATTTTGGTTCCCCATCATGGCTTAAAAACAGCTTCCTAGAACAATTTTTCATGATCCTGCCAGGTTTCTCTGCACTGACAGTGTGCAGTGAGAAGTATGATGGGTCATACATCTTTATAATTACTGGAATGCAAGTGCTCCCATTTCTATTAACTTCTTAATCTTTTTGCCCTTTTCATTTGTTTTTACATTTCTGCGGTTTGTTCCCTTCCTAATTCTACCTCACTATGATTTGTTTTCTTTTTTTTTTGGTTTAATTTTTCTTCTCCACATACCAAGGATAAAAAAGGAAGGTATTTAGAAAAGAAGCAATCCACTAATGACTAATGGATCTCAGGTCTGTGAAGGCATTAAGAAAAAAAATTACTGAGCAACAAATATTTCTCTATGCTTACTTTTATGATACTGAAACTTCCAGTAACTATAATTTAGTGAAAGTAACATGTATAGTTTTGCCTTTAGAGTTTTTGATCAACAGTTGTGATGTTCTTGCTTGGCCAAGGTTTCTAATTTAAATTGTGTTTCCAGGGATCGAGATTATGACCGAGACTATGATAGGGATCGAGATTATGATCGAGATCGGGACTATGATAGAGATAGAGACTATGACAGGGATCGTGGCAGGGGACGAGATAGAGATAGGGATCGAGAGCGGGAGAGGGATAGGGACCGCCATCGCCTGAGAGAAGATAAGGAATATGGTCGGGAGAGAGAACGTGAAAGAGAAGGTAGGGAACGTGATAGGAGAGACAGGGATCGTGGCCGGCGTAGAAGTCACTCAAGGAGCCGAAGTAGAAGTAGAGATCGCAAGGACCGTGATGAAGAGCGTCGTAAAAGACATGCTCGCAGCAGTGCCAGTCCCAGAAGGCGTGGGGATGGACCTGATGATAGTACCACTCGGGATGAGCCAAAGAAGAAGAAAGAGAAGGAGAAGAAGAAGGATGATGGAACTGACCATCCAGATCCAGAGATTGCAGAGGCAAATAGACTTCGTGCATCCCTTGGTTTGAAACCTTTGAAGCTATAATTAGAAAACTTTGTAGCTGCATGTGTTATGTGTGTTATTGCTTGCTTGCGTTTGGTGGCGGATTTGTAAACACCAGGGCTCTTATGTCGGATTTGCTACTTGAAATCGTTATCAGGACTTGGTATTTTCTTTAGCTTGTTTCTATTATCAAAAGGATAGTTTGTCAAAATCTGTTTGCTTCACTAATGTGATATTGGCAGTGTATTTGTACAGACAACTTGCTCTTACTTCCAAATTTTTTCCATGTGACCACTGTAGAAATGATCTATGGCCTGGATTTAGCTTGTTCAACTAAATTATTTGCATGGGGCCATCAGATTTTTTTTTTTTTTTGTCGACACTGGGGTGTCCGGGTCAAGACCCGAAGGCGGCTCGATTAATCCCCAGCGACCCGGGAGGAGAGGCCCCATCCCCCCAAGCACGGTAACCCTGCACGACTCGAACCCCTGGCAAGTG